CACTAGTGAATACTGGTGAATCAGTACATTTTATAGAGATACAAGCCACAGTAGAGGAACGGAAGGAGCAATTAATGAATTCTAAATATGTAATCTAAGAAAGCTTAGAAAAGCGCAAGTGGCATTTTTGCTGGTTCTTAAGGGAGTCCACCAAAGAGAAAGAAAAGAAACCTCTCTGATGAAAGAGCAGACAAATGTGAGCACTGCAGTGTGGAAGCCCAGGAAGACTTCCAGATATGGGTATAGTCATGTTGAGGATAAGGAATAGTAAGTGAAAGGTCACAGTAAGTAATGACAGGGAGTGGAATTCATGGATTGTCAGAAAGAGGAGTTCTTACTGAACACATGCACTGTGCCCAACAAGGGAGACGTTTTCATTCCCCATTTTATAGGTGTGGAAACTCAGGGTGTTCTTAGCAGTCAAGTACGTTCGAATTGTACAGCTAGTAAATGGCAGAGCCAGTGCCTTGCATGTGCCCTTGGTGCTACCAAAATATTTGAAATGGTTGACCAACATTATGATTTCATTGTTAACTTTTTCTTTCACAAGTAGTGAACATAATACAGTTAAATTTAGAATATAAACACTGAGTATTATAGCTGTTTCTCATCTATATTTGGAAGTTCTGAATATTCTAATGTATAAATTTGTATTTTTATCATTTTTATTCAGTGGTATAGCTATTTCTCAAAACTATTGGTTTAACGGTGTTTAACCAAATTTTAAAATATCATAATGCACACTTTTCCAAATGCATAAGTTAACTTATTTTTTATAATATTATTTTACTCTTGGAAAGATGGTTGGGGTTGTTTATTGTTTTTTCATGAAGTCACTTTGCCTATCTCTTCCCTTTGTAACTTTGAACTTCTCTCAGAGATAGCTGTGAATGGCACCTAATTCATCACTATTCAGGTTATACTCATGTTTTGTCATCATCTTAGAGGAATATTTTCTGCCTCAAATAGTTTCCTGTCTTCTCTTAAATAAATTCCCTTTCTATAGCAGGTCTTCCAACTATAAATTCATTCTCATAAGACTTTGACATACTTTTTCCAAATATTTGTATGAAATAAAACACCAAGCTCATGAAAATGTACCCAAAGAATCTTTAAAAGTTTGGTTCAGTATCAATATTGCTATTTATGTAAAATTTAATCTGATCTAATTGCTTACCAAAGGGTGATTGCATTCATTCCCCCAAATATCAATTAATTTTACTTCATTGAAATCTCTGTGACATTCCATGTTTCAATGCCTTCTTTCCTTTCTTTTTTTCAATTTGAAATTATTAAGAAAGGTACCAACAGAGTTCACCTACCCCATAGATATCCTTGGACTGAAGTAACCCAAAGGGCCTGATCTCAGAGACCTTGACCTATTCTCTAGCAATGAATTGGGCCAGAGGCACAAATGAAAAGTTCAATCCAGCCCCTGCTATAATATGAGCACAGGGAGTCCCCTGTGGTTAGCTTTAAGTAACAGAGGAGCAAATCAGTTGAGATGTCTAACACACGTGATACAAGAAACCAAAGGATGTTTAACCTACAGTAGAAAACAATGTAGAGTAGGGAGAATATAAGGAACTGCTTATGGAAATATCTACAGCTTCATCTTCACTGCACTAAGAGCAGGTATGAAGGAATAATGTTTGGAAGTAACTAGAAGATAATTTTAAGATCAAAAGAAAGAATCATCTAAGTGGAGATATTTAAAAATGAAACAGATTGTTCTCATACTCACTCCAGAGGACCCTCTTTCAGTTTATTAAACTGTATTTCTTTCCTAATAAACTTTGCTATTACTTTCACTACAAAAAAAAATGTTTTAATGAAACAGGTGCTTCCTGGAGGAGAGAGACAGCCATTTGTATCTCCAGTAGGGAAATATTTAAAACTGAATAACCATAAAATTTATTTTACAAACGGGTATATTTGAGAGTGAACAGATAATAGTCATGAACCAGGACAGCTTAGGCAAACTGACACACATGTTACCTTAATTCACCCTTCTTATAGACCACAAGCTATATGGATTTGCTGACATGGAGGAAAGGGAAAGAAGGATCCTAGCAGGGGAAACAGAACAGATGATGAACAGCTCATAGGAATATGGGGAAGCATGACAAATCTGTAACCTTCTCTCCTTCCTTCTGCACCCACCCTGATAGGATGAAATCTAAAAACCTACATCAAGTAGGATCTATACAAGTAAGCCTAGCCATAAGCATAGTGTTGGGATCCAGAGGGATAAACCTGGGGAAGATTCCGGGACAAGGACATGTCCCACAGCCAGGGTACTGTACCTACTCTTCCTAAGGCAAGTTATTCAGGGAGTTCTACCAAGTATAACAGAAAGAAAGGACAGAACAAACTCCAAAGGACTGAAGACTGGCAGATGACAAAGTAGAAAACAGGACAAGTATAATAGCAAAACTTGCCCACATCGAGAAGAAGGCAAAATGAGGAGCAATTTCCTAAGTATAGTCTATGCTATATAGACAGGCCTAGAATTATGTGATGCACACTTCTTCCATTCTAAATGGCAATGCAAATATAATTATAAAATGCTAATTTTGCTATTACAACACTATTATAATCTATAAAGTGTTTGAAATAATTATTAAAATTAATATTCACAAACAAATATTTTTACTAACTGCTAGTTAACTACTAGCTAGTTAACTACTAGCAGTTAACTACTAGCAGTTAGTACTTACTAACTGCTAGCTGTTAGTAGGCACTAACAGCTGCCTGCCAGGCTGCTATCACACTCTGGCACTTCACCTCAGTGTTGAATGTGCACCTTCACTTTGCCATGCCACCAGTGTGATTGAAGGAAAATTGACTCCAACCACCACAATAAAAATGAGCCAATCCAGGTAATCTAAATCCCCTGCTCTGTGATTACCCAGATCAAGCAACAGCATTGTCATCCTTTAACAACTGGTCTTGATCCAGGCACACAGCCTCACTCAGCCAGACATAACAAAAAGGGTAATTTTCAACATGAACAAGGTAAGTGTGTTGGTCCAATGGCTGCTAGCCACCATCAGGGGAAGACTGCCTGTGGATAAGGTAACCAGGTGAGGACAGGGAAGAGAAGAAAGTCTGAGCCAGAGTTCCATTTTTACCAGGCATTTCCAACCTGTGGTTTTCCATTGGTGTGGTAATGACTTCCTTATTGTGTAAGCCAGCTTGAGATGGATGTCTTGACTTTGGCTGAAAATATCCTTATAGATAAAATAGTGCTTGCCAAACCTCTCTTTGTATTGGAATCACCTCTCTTATTTTGGATTTTTAAAAATTATTGATGCCTCCATTCTACACAGGTATTATGATTTATTGGCCTATTGTATGATTGGAAGGGCCAATTAATCTCTAAACACCCTTCTTTCCTGAAGATTCTTTCCTAAGAACTTACCATTGTCCAAGACCAATGGAGCACTCAGAGACTCCTCAAAGTGACAGAGACTATGTCTTCACCCCAGGATTTTTTCTACTCCCCATAAAGAAGGAAAGTGACACTTTGTGACTCAATTTGAACCTTCCCTAGTAACATGAAAATATATAGCTCTATAAACCACATGCTTGGGATCTTAAGGAGCCATGAAAGTGGCCAGCTCATAGGAATGGCTAACTGTTCAGCAACACTTCCTTTCTTAATTTGTAGAATGAGTAAGAGGAAAGAGATAAAGTGGGAGGGAAAGAAATGAGACCTGACTACACTGCTAACATGCTCTGTCACCTGTAAGCCTTGTACCTTACTGCATGATAAACTGAGAGAGCCCAGAGTGGGGCAGTGGGGGGAGGGTGAGGTGGCCCAAACAATGTATACACATGTGAGTAAGTGTAAAAATGATAAAATTTTTAAAAATGAGAAAAATAATATGGTTCATCTCAGTATTAAACCTTTGTAAGAATGGTACAAAATGAAACATATGAAAGAATTCAAGATAAAAATATTTTCACAGGGTGTAGTGGTACATGCCTATAATCTCAGCTTCTCCAGAGATGGAGAGAGGAGGATTGTGGTTTGAGGCCAGCCTGGGCAAAAAACAACTTGTGTGTGGTGGTACACATCTATGGTCCCAGCTACTCAGGAGTCGTGGTAGGAGGATTGCAATTCGAGGCCAGCCTGGGCAAAGTTAGTATGAGACCCTATCTGAAAAATAAAAACAAAAAGCAAAAGGACTGGGAACATAACTCAAGTGATAGAGCCCTGAGCTCAATCTCCAGTACTAAAAAAAAAAAAAGTCTCAATGACTGCAAACTATTACTATGAAAGGTAAGAATGACATCTGGTAATAACCCTAACATAAACTGAACCAGCATGATGAAATGCTTTAGGCAGCACATTTTCTACCAGCCTCCTCTCTTTGTCCTCTCCTTCATCTTTCCTTCCACCAAACTTCATAACATACCAAGCTTTCTCTGCAGATACAAGTCTAAAACTTACCCCTGCCCCAACTCACTCAAACTGACTGCCACCCTCTGAGTCCTGTCACATAGAAATCCTAGGGCTGCCACTGGCAGAATGGGTTATTTTGTTGTGCTTTTTCTCACAGGTTTTTAGAAGCACTCCACTTCCCCATCAAGAATACACCTCTGGGTACCACAGTGCTGTAACATTCCCCATTTGAATTATAATGTCTATCAAAAGGGGGATCTCTTGGGAGGCATGAGTGCTAAGTGGGAAGTGATTTTTCAGAGAGATGTGTGTGAAATAGTTTCAATATTTGGCAGTTCCTAAAGGCAAGTTGATTTGAGACATTGGTTTTTAAAAATATATATACTTGATCAGCTCGCTATACTATTCTCTTCTTTTTGAAAATGTGTTGCTGTTATAGTATTACAGTTGGCGGTTGCAGCAAAGCAGAAATGTCATAAACCAAAGGGTCATAATTTTTCATTTATTTCATTCATTTATCCATATATGTCACATATATCACAAAAATGTATATATTCAATAAGAAATCCACCTTTCTCTTACAGATATCTCCATTAACATATACCCTTCTGAAACTAAAGACATAGACAATGCCCCACGAAGCGAAACAACTGAAAGTACTGCAAAAATGTACAAAGTGTCAGCCATGAGACGAATATTTGATTTGGCAAAACTTCGAACAAAAAGATCAACACTTTTCCCAACTGGGATTAATGTCTGTCCACAGGAATCCATGAGACAGATTTTAGACAGTCTTGAAGCTTATTATAGACTGAGAGGTAAGGAAAGTGATGAAATCTCCTTAGCCCTTTATTCTCTTCATCCCTTCTCTGTCATTCATCCAGATTGTCTTCAGCTCAGAACTTGCAGGGTCTCTCATTCAGCCACAAGAGTTATAAAAATCAGTCCATTAACCTGATGGTAATGAGTCATAAACATTCAAAGCCATGGTAGCTCCCAGCTCTTATGGCTAATAATAATGTCTTATGTGACATGAAACCTTTATGGCTCTTGACAAGTCACCAGAAAGTTTGATACACAGGTTTTACGTCTTTGTTTCATTTTTGTCAAAGTCCAATATTGAATTTTAATGTTGTTTTTATGAAATAAAAGATATAAGACAATTGCCACATCAGGAATCTGAGCAAGTTAATTTATGACTTAAGATTTCACTTTTCAAAAGCAACATTACAATCCAAATTCTCTCTCTTCTTAGTAAGTTCAAGTTATCTATTACCGATTAAAAAAAAAAAAAACTTGTGAAGTTTGGGGACCTAGAGCCAGGTTGGAGTGCAGAGGAGACATAATTAAGAATGGTTACCAAAGTCTACCGAAAGGATGTGTCTGAGCTTTCCAGCAGAGATACAACACAGTTTCCACTCCAAGACAGCATAACAGATTCTTGCAGCATTCCTGGAAAGCATTAAAGTTTAAATCCCACCATAACCATCAGGGGCTAGCCTTCTCATTTACTTACCATGCATGAAAAAATTCCCATGGCTTCTTCTGTAAAATAGATGTTTTTAGCTGCTATTAATTTCCATAGGTAGCTCCAAATAATACAAAGTACTTTGACTTCCTGAAGCCAAAGTTCAATTCATCTTACTTGTGAAAGTTGACAGGTTTACTGATTTCTACCTTAATCACACTAGATGTTTGCTTCTATTCCAAAATGTGGACTCTCCCTGCTCTGTTGAAAGCCCATTCACTAGAGCAAGCTGGTTCAAGTCTAGTCTGTGATGTGTTATGCATTTTGACAACTGAGAACTCATTTCATGACACTAACGTCCGGCAAAGTTCTTGGATGTCTACTTCTGTAAAATGTGTACAGGATTCAATTAACCTTATGGTTCTTATTGGATTTTGGAGGCATAATTAACTACAGTTTCAAAAATATTGAGCCTTATATTCCTGATATGTCTCAGTTTATGGGGAAGTAAGAGATGTTTGCTTTCTGATCATAGCCACACTCACAGAAAAATGAAAAGTATGGGGTCATAATCAGGAGAACTCTAATTGTAGAAAAGAAGGACTCTATATTAATATTCTGAAGTCCTAGCACAGTCTCTTCACCAGACAGTTTCTCAGGAAATGTTTGCTGATGGATACAAAGGCAAAGAGCCCATTCATTGGGAATGCAAAGAAAAGACAGTGGTGTGTAAATTATTCATCCTGAATGTGCATACACATCAATCAGATAATGACACTGATAAATTCCGTATTTTTTTTCTAGTGGCTATAAGTATATACATATAAAACATATATATATATATATTTGCATCACAGTGAATGTGAATTGCTAACTATTTTCATGTAAAATCTAATTCTTTACAACTTTCACAAATAGGATTTGCCACAGATATTTGTACAATAGACTATTTACTGCAGCAACCAAATTTTTACCTCTGATTTTTTATTCTTAGCTTTTTTTCTTGATAAGGTTTGCCTCTTTCATTATTGTTTCCTGGATGAAACAAACCACCATTTTTCTCCCGACAGCAATGACAGTCCATTATCTTTATGACTGCCCCGGGTGATATGAAATTTTACTATTCATCAGTGTGGGTTTCTTAAGTCTAACAAATTGGTTCATAAAGAAACAAGAAATAAGACCTAGCTACAAAGCAGTGTTCCTTTGATGGAGTAACCCACTTACTGTTCTCATCACTGCCTTTACAAAATTGTCTGTTGACATCTTTCGACAGACTCAGGGGTGAAGGCTCTTCTGTTCCTAACTCAAATGGAATATTGGCCTTTTCCCAATGCTTAAAGCAACAGAAGTGAAAATGTTCAAAGCTTTGTGGTACAATAATAAACACACTTATCCCACAGCACAAATGCAAACAAGGCAAGTTTGTTTCTGGTCGTCTCCAGGCCAAGCTCTATGATTCTCCCCAGCCAAGATCCCTGCTTTATGAATGCCTCCCCTAAAAATCCCCACCACACTCTATTCCATGACTCTTTTTCCCCTCTTTTCTCTCCCTTAATCCAATATCAATAGCTAGATCTTTCTTTCTCAGTGAAGTGTGACGTAGAGCACGCATTCTGCTAATCATATCCTACCCAGACCAACTATCAGACTGTGAATTTTAACAAGATCCATAGGTAATCTGTACCATCCAAAGGTAAAAGTTCAAGAAGCACTTACCTAGAGAACATCTAGCCAACACTCCCATTGTGTTAGATAGGAAAACTGAAATCTGAAGAGGTGAGGTGATATGCCTCAAGCACGGGGTCCAATTCCCATTCCAGCATATCTTTCCATGGTATGTCTGCGCAACCCCGTTCTTGGCGTTGTCACAGCATTGGTCTCTGTTAATACTTCTCAATTGTGAAAAGTATCTGCAGACATGGACTTCCAATTATGGACAGCCAGCTGGCCTCCCCCACATGTGCTTTCTGTGGTTCTCCCTGCATCATCAAAGCAGAAAGGCTCTATGATCAGATTCTAGGCATTGGCCTAGACTGTTGAGGCCAGGTGCTGGATTTTTCAAGAATCCTTTTGACAGACAGGTGCAATGGCCCATGTGTATGCCAGCTACTCAGGAAGTAGAGATCAGGAGGATCACAGGTCCAGGCCAGCCAGGAGAAAAGTTCACGAGACACCATCTCAACCATTAAGCTGGGCATGGTGGCATATACCTGTTATACAAGCTATGCAGGAAGCAGAAGTAGAAGGATTAGTAGCAGGATTACAACCCAGACCAGGCCTTCATTAAAAAAAAAAAAAAGTGAAGCCCTATCTTAAAAAATAGGGATAGGGATATGGCTAGAGCACCTGTTTAACAAGTGCAAGACCTTGAGTTCAAAACCCAGTACCACCTAAATATATAAAGAAATAAAGAGTCCCTTTGGCAATTCCTCCAGTAGAGGGATAGTGGGTTTGCTCAGAGGAGGATGGTACAAAACAGACAAATCAAGGGATAGAATAATCCAACTTGGAGATGCTTTCTGATAACTCCTACCCCTGTGATGTTTTGATGCCTTCAGTTCTCAATGATGTCTTTGATGCTCCCTCAGAAAGGACTCGGGATTCTGTGGCAAGTCATGGGATGATGCTTCCTATCCAAAAGGATTCTGTGCCTACTGATTTGTGGGAAGCTTTCAGGAAGCCAGAAAATTGACATTAGAAAATGCACACACCTCTCAAAAGGGGTCTGAAGAAAATCCACTGCTTTTGGTTTCATGGTTAAAATCCTGGTGCTGGTAAACTCTCAGGCAGATAATCCATCAAGTTGCTTCATTTTGCTTCAGGAAGAAAGTTCTTTCGGGTCTTTATGTGAAGGAAGTGCTGATAGGGGCTGTAGGGCTCTGTGACCTGCAGTGGGAAGATGGATGGCATCGGAAAGAGCAGGACAAGAAAGATACAAAAACAGCACTTTGTACTCCACAGTCCAGCCTCAGTCTTCCCAACCACATGACAGGGCACTGCCTGCAGAAATCACTGTATAATCGTGATGTATTCTCAGATGATTTTTTTTTTTTTTAGATAGTGTCTTGCTATGTAGCTTAGGCCAGCCTTGAACTTGCTACATAACCCAGGCTGGTCCAGAAATCTAAAACCTCCTGCTGTGGTCTCTTTGGTGCTGGGAGTATAGAACTGTACCACCACACCTAGCTAAAATGAATTTCTTTGCACATCTGTGTACATCTCCTGTGGAGCCTATAAGTCCGAGTTTGGGCTCAACTGAGAATACAATTAGTTCAAGCCTTAAGTTGGACTAAAATAAAAGGAAAAGTTATTCGGAGTCTAAGAGCTATATGCCTAAGTTTGTGCCTAACTGGTAAACAGGAGGAAATATCACACCATGGCTTCCCACTTGTTTTTGGCACAGATACTAATCCTGAAAGTCACCAACACTAAACTCTCAAAAACAGTGCTAGTTTATCTTGTGTATTGTATCTCTGGTACTTAGATGGGCTTTGAACTAAACTAGCGAGTATGCTGGGGAAAGATGGAAGGGAAACATAGCATCCCAAAGAGAGAGTGGAGTGTGTAGGTTAGAAGGATAACAAGGACAGCTGATTTGCTCTGACTGGACCCACAACAGCTACAGTTTCTCTAAATCTGAAAAGAGGGCTGGCGGAATGGCTCAAGTGGTAAGAGCACCTGCCTAGAAAGTGTGAGGCCATGAGTTCAAACCCCAGTGCTGCCAAAAAAAAAAGGCACATATCTAAATCTGAAAACATTCAAGTGTGGTTTCCTTCTTTCATGGTCTGGAGACCCTTGGTTAGAGATGAAGGCCCAGAGACTGCATGATTCATGTCAGGAATGACATTGAAACTGATTGGCCATCCTTGCCTGGCAGGAGAGAGAATCAAATTCACAGAAGTTCATTCTCTATGGCAAGGCTACTCCACTGTTTCCAATGCAAGGTATTTCCCCAATGGTAGGAAACCAGATGTTAGAGATGGTTAGACTTCAGCCTCTCCTGTCTTTGTGAGTTAGCAATTGAATGATCTCTCACCTTGAAGGCTCTGGCACTGCTGGTAAGTGACTTGTGCTTATATTGACCTGGAATTCCCTTTGTCTCTTGAAACAAAAAGCCTAGAGAAACCCAGGCAGAGAGTAAGTGGAGAGAAGGGAGATGAAGCATAGGTGTAAGGGTCTACAAAACCATCCTGTTTCACCTTGTTCCTCCCATAACCTTTTTTTTTCAATACCACAGTCAATTTTTCTTTAGAAAGCTGGATGATTTCAGCCTTTGGCCCAAAGTTTCCAATTGTTTCCCACCCCTCTAGAGGTAAAAAATCAACATATTACTGCATACAATGGAAGTCTTCAAAAAATTTTGCTCACTTAAATTCTTAAAATAACTTTTAAGCTACATACCTCACCTGTACATTCTCTTCACGTGTTTAAATTATCAGAAAGGGTATAACTTTCAGCGAGCTGAATAAATATTGATATTTAAAATTTAAAAAGAATTGGTTCACTCTTATGTATCCAATAGAATCTACTACAGCCACTGAATACTTTCATTGAGTTTTCAAATGCTTTTAAACCCATACATGAATAAACTATCCTTAGAAGTAGGAACTGTCACATCACTTCCTTCTCATCAGACAGCCATATTTCCATTCCACTTCCCTTCTAGAGTCTTCTTTCAATGTAATTTATCTTTGGTCTTTTTGTTTGTTTGGCTTTTGATGGTACTGGGATTTGAACTCAGGGCTTCACATTTACTAGGCAGGTGCTCTACTGCTTGAGCCATGCCTCCAGTCCCATATTTAGTCTTAAAAATGTTATTGATTACTCCAAAATACTTTTTTGTAACAAAAATATGTATACAACTTTAAATTATATTTTTTATTTCCCATGACTACAGGCCTTATATATAAAAAATTTCTACCAGATTCATTCATTTATGATTTTTAATATGTAATTGATTACAACAATATGTAAGTTTGACAAATTTCTTTATATTTTTGTTGATGCATCATATAGGGCAATATCCAGCTTTTGTGGATATTAATATTTATAAATATAAAATTGGAGATGCAAAATTGGAAACAAGGCTTTGAAAAGAACCCATGTAAATGAAGAGTCTATGGCTTATACTCCCTTAGTTTTTGTGCTTGTTTAAATGAGATTGCTTTTCTTTTTCTCCTTGATTAGTTCATGTAAAATTAGTAATTATGCACATTATGCATTGCTAAAATGTGAGAAAGGTTAGCATTAATTTCATACCTATTCTTTTTTTCCTTTTCTCTTAAGTGCTTAGAAAACTTGTTTCCACAAATTAGTCAGTAGGGCAAATTTTGTTATAATAACATCCTTATTCTTTAAACTCCTTTGTGATTATATGCCAACAATTACATTATGATCTGTCATCATTATTTTGAAATATCTGTCAGCTGTCAACTCCACTAAGATTTCTTCTAGCTTATTGAAAGCAAAGAATCAGAAATCACCAAGTGACCAAAATGTGTGTTATTCAACAACTAAGTTCACTTCTTTTCTCAACTTCAGTACAAGAGGCACTGGACCACAATAAAATTAGAGACAGATGATTTGGGGCAAGGATTGTGACCAAAGGAGAGGTGAAAAAGAAGAGGTATGGCCTTAAGAAGGCACTGGAAAGATGAGACCTGCAAAATAATTCCCTTTCAGTGGTTGTGCACCTGCTATCGATTGGGAAGACTTTGTGGACAGCCAGGGTACTAGTATCCCCATTCCTAGCTACTGGTCTACAAGGCCCTTCACAATCTGGGTTCCCCTCCCCATATCTTTTTCTTGTCTTCATCCTCTATTACTCAGCCTTGCTTTAGCCAGACTGACATCCTCACTCTCCAACCTGAAGACCTGTGCTTTTCCCAAACTGCTCAAAAGTCACCTTTATTAGTGTGATCTTCCTCAACCACCCTATTTTACATTACAGTCTTACCCATGACCACACACACACACACACGCTATTTCCTGTCTTTTCTGTTTTTCTGTAGCACACAGTAGAAGCTCAATAAATATTTCATTAAATGAATTTGACTTCTATGGGCTATAAATTAGTTGTCAACATAAGCCATGAAAGAACTTTCCATATTACATTTTGGGGAAAAGGGTGTTTCATAAGAAGTGGCCACTTTCACCGCAATGGTTCTGCATTGCAGTGTGTCAGGAAGCAGTGTGGGAAGCATATCGGATCTTTCTGGATCGCATCCCTGACACAGGGGAATACCAGCACTGGGTCAGCCTCTGCCAGCAGGAGACCTTCTGCCTCTTTGACATCGGGAAAAACTTCAGCAACTCCAAGGAGCACCTGGATCGTCTTGAGCAGGTGAATCTAACTTCTGTGTGGTTATTTGGAACACTGCCCAAAGAGCTCCCAGGTCTCCAGGCCCTCCTTATGAATTGGTTTCCACAACATAAGCGTTCAAGAAATGACTAGATATGTCTGAGAAGACCAACAGAGATTTTACCGCTACAAAATAATATCATACAGGCATGCTGAAGTGTAGTTGGAGGGAGAAGGGAATGAAAAAAAAACTTAAAACTATTCAGTTGGCATTATCTTTTGATAAAATTGCTTTTTATCTTTTTTGCAGAGAATAAAACAGAGAAGCTTCCCTGAAAGGTAAGTACCCAAAATGGAGTGCTGCATGCTCTTGACTTTCAAAAGATCATATAATGGAGTGAGAATAAGCTATTGTACCTTTACGATTTTATGTCAGCCACAAAGATCTGTGTAGGTTATTCTGATAGACAATTTTTGCATATATTGTACTGAAGACAAATGAGTATATAAAAGGAAAATGGATAGACTTTATACATTGAGATAAATGTTGCTTTGCTTGCAGAAGAAAGGAATTCATCACTGTGTGATACATATCTAATATATATTTTCACTTGCAAGATACAGAGCAATTAAAAGGTTTGATTTTTAGAATTTATGATAAACTATTAGTTACATCAGGAAAATATTTAATACAATCAAAGAGCAACCTGAATTTTGAACCCTAGTTTGGTATTCTGTAACATGTTAGGATTTCTCAAAGCGAGTTACTAAAGCACACTGTGTTATACCCTCAACAACTGGATATCAACTAAGAAAATCAAAATGGAAAAGGACCAGAAAGTGCACTAGCTAAAGTGATTTAAAGAAGAGATATGCTGTTGCCAAACTATAAACTCACAAATGGCATATTTTATAACATTTAGAAATTTGAACCTGAAGGTAATACTATGAAGAAAGACTAATTTGACCATATGAATTACCAGAAATTCTTTATGGTGCCTTTCACATTTTTTGTTTGTTTCTTTCTATTTGCCATCAACCTGGCCCAGAACCTTATTCACAAAATGTCAACTCTGATTTCCCTAATAGATGGCTCTGCCTCTAACCTCTTCCCATTAACTTGCATAACTGCTGCTAGATTAATAAGTCTAGAATACTCCTTTTGTTATTTTGAGCCCTGTTCAGTGGCACTCAAAAGATTCCACATCTTCCCCTTGCTCTTTTGTATATCCCACCCTCCATCCTCTCCACCCTACATCTTATAAGATTGTAAGAGCTGGCATCACAGCTATCCCTTGCCCTCTGGTTCTTGGTTAGGATCAGCTAATGGAGAAAAAAGATCAGAGGAAAGATCAGGTCATAGAATTCATCACACGCACACACACACACACATCCTGTAAAGTATTTAAGGGCTATTGACGTGCTTCAACTTCCGTCCAACTCCTGTCCAGCAGCTCTTTCCACAGAGCTCTTTCTGCCTCTGGTTCTTGGTACCTTGTCACCCCTCCTGGCCAAGGGATGTTCTTAGCACCTCCACTGTTACTAGCCGCAAAGTACTGCCCTCTCCCCTCTGATTGCTCCTATATTATTGTGACAACTTAGTAAATAATCCTTTCATTAACCCTTGTTCAAATAACCCTGCTGTGAGTCCTCTGCTTCTTCCTAGTACCTTCACTACTTTCCTCACATTACTCATGATCCCATTGCTGCCCCGGTCACTTCCTCACAGCACACAGACATACTCTCCTCAATCTGGACTCAGACTCCAGCACTTTTCCTGTTGCCTGAAAGAACCTTCCTTCTCCACTGCACCTATCCAAATCCTATTCTCTTTCAAGCTCCCCATGATGTCTTTACAAGCCTACTGGTGCCTGCACTTATCTCCCCCTGCTTGAAACCTACAGCATTTCCCCCTGCTTTGAGCTTTGTGCTCTATTTGACACTCACATTTTTATTGGATATTTCCTTGCCTTACCCTGTTTCCCTTCAGGACTGTAAATTCCTCAAGGGCAGGAACTGTTTTATACTTCTATATCTGCTGCACAAAATTGAGCAAAGTTCTCACATATTTGGGTAATCAATTATGACTATGAAGCCACTCTTACAAATTTCAATAAACTTTTGCCAGGAGAAATCAGGTACTTAGGAAAGTCTTAGGACTAGACTACTAACTTTGTTTATAAGACACAGAGATAACTGATACAAATGTAGGATGATACTGACTTTTCCACTTTCAAAAAAAAGAAAGCAAAGCAGAGGGCACCCATAAGAAAAGAATCAACACAATATCCCATGTCTGGATAGAGAAGCATTAAAAATTATAAGAAACCTTTACCTGAGCCCAAAAAAGAAAGAAATAAAGTCAATTCATCCACTCCTGTGCCTGCCAGCATTGTTGGAGAGAAAGAAGGAACAGGAGACCTTTTATATTAACTACACTTAGCAAGTTTAAAAAAGAAAGAAGAAGGAGAAAAAAACTCTTTCACTTCAAATCTTTCCAAGAAGACAAAAGAGAAAATTTTCTCACCTGACTAGCCCATAAGTCTGCCAGTTTCAAATGACTTTGAAATAAAAGCCAGTGGAACAACTGAGTGGTCCAGCTTCCCACACTAGAGCTCCTGGCCAATGCTGCAGATTGCCAGCTTAGTGGCAGGATGACACCTAATCCTGAAGGAGAAGCAAACAGTGTCTGGCACAAAGACCTGCACAAAGTGGGCTGTTAATGTGCAACTAATGCAAAAGCCTGCATTTTTACAGCTTTTTACAGCTCTCTTCTTGGTTATTTTCTTTTTCACAGCAAAGTAAAAGAAGGAGACTAAAGTAATAATAGGAGAAGGAGATATGACTATAAACAAAGATCTGTATAATTAAAAAGAAAGAAAATTTTGTAAATTATAAGAACTATGTTTGATATGGTGAGGGTTTATTTAAATATAATCTCCATTAAAACTGTTTACTAAACCCATAGTATAATACCTGAAAAAGAAATAAAGAGGACAGCTGTTTCTAAATTCCACTAGAGAATCTAAGCTTATATTTGGCCTGTGTTCACCAATATATGTCATCCATTGTTACAGCTGACATCCATTCTGATTGGTCAGAGATGGCCGATCAGACATAGGTGGCTGATAATATTTTGAATATTATACTTATTGGCACCTTGGAAAAACTGGGCATGGAAGAAATATGTAGGGAGAAATGTTGACTCTGCACAATCTAGATGACTCTAACAGAACATCTAATCATTCCCTTTGGTCTTCCTATCAAGAGCCACTGAAAATTAGATCAAATATGTTGTACTAACACAGAGATGATCATTTGGGACCTAACACCTTATAGAAACAAGTCTTTCGGTGAGATTAAAAAGGCACTTCTCCTTTCTAAATAAAGCTTGCTAGAACAGGTCGACATTATTTACGTAGAGAGCTCTACTACCAAGAACTTGAATCTGGCCCTAAATTACCTTTCACACTGTGACCACACCCTCAACTCCATGGCTGGCTACCATTGCAGGCAATGGTGGTCTTCAGCATACAGACTTAGTATACCTGTATTACCCAGAAATCTAACTCTCTCCCATTACTCTAACCAAAAGTTACTTTATTAGAGAAACATTTCTCTGGATTGGCAGGCACAAGGACCTGAGTTTTTAGGAATAATATTCTAGTCACATACTAGATATTATTCTAGGACATACCATCTATTATCTTTGATTTCAAGGGCATGGTGTCTGTACAATGGAACTATAAGATATGAGATCCAAAAGACCAGCTTTCCCTACTATGGCAATGCTCCCCACACCTGGGACCACACAACACCAAGACGTTCATGGATAGCCATAGGGTGACAAAGTTTATGGACAGTCATGGAGCCGTGGTATATGAAACCATTGGGAATTGAATTTTCTTCAATGGACAGGTATTCAAATATTACCTTAGTAATGAAAACAGCTAAGTTCACTTTTACAGTATGCTTTTATTTCTCTAATTTTTAGGTCTATTCAGTACAGGCAAATTTAAATATAGGCCCCTTGTTGTCATCAAGTTCCTTTTCACCACCTCTTCCTTCTTTCCTGTTGTCCTAACAGAAAAGATGAAATATCTATCGAGGAGACCCTGGCAGAACCTGCTGAAATGCCTGTGTTTTCTACAGGTAAGCTTAGACCTCATTTCCTCTGCTTCAAACCTTAATTCAAATATCGGGAAAGCAAGTTATTTACAAAGCAATCCTTAATTGAAGTTGATAAAGTTTAAAATGTAAAATATACTTTCTCAGTTCTAACTGGTGGTTCACTGACATCACAAAAAAATGTAGATTCATTTTATAAAATTAGAAACTATAAGAAGGAATACAGGCAAAAACAAATCACCCTCTATCCCACAATTTGGAGATGACCATCACTGGCACTTTTTCACGTTGCTGACCTTATTTCCTCTATTATGTACATGTATTGCTGAAACCAAACTTAATTAAACTTTGCATCATTTTTCCACTTGACATGACATAAAAAACATTTTACAGTTTCATTAAAAAGTGTCCAAGTTGTTTTAATGGCTTCCAATATTCTATGACATCCATATAAATATAATCAACTTAGCCATTCCATAGTTGCTAAATGTTTCTCTGCCATAACAAATAATGCTTAATTAGTTAAACATAAATCTTTATGAAAACACTAGTTTCTCAAAGTACTAAATCAAAAATTTAATTTCTGAGGCTGAGGATGTAACTTAGTGTCAGAGTGCTTGCCTAGCATGCTCAATGCCCTAACCTGCATCCTCAGCACTGCCAAAAATAAATAAATGCATAAATAAACAAATAAAGTTCTAAGGCCTCTGATGGATTTTGCCAAATTTGTATATTTATAGAAATTTTGTTAGAATTTACATAACTCACTGGTCCAAAAGACATTGCATACTTCTCAAAATTAAGCATTACAATTTGTTTTAATATTTGCTAAAAAGAGAAAATATTTTTCTTGTTTCATAGATTTTGAAATTTCTCTTTCATGTATTTTACTATTTCATTTGAGACTTTTCATTTTCCCATGTAATGTAAGAATACATTTAGTCAGCTATAGTGGTACACTCCTGTAATCTCAGCATTTAAGAGGCTGAGGACAGAAGATCATGAGTGTGAGGCCAGTCTGAGCTCCACATAGTGAACCTGTCTCGAAAAAGCAATAATGTGCCAGGTGCCAGTGACTCACACCTGTAATCTTAGCTACTTGGGAGGCTGAGATCAGGAGGATTGTGGTTCAAGGCCATTCATGGGCAAATAGTTCACAATATCCCATCTCCAAAATAACCAGAGCAAAATGGACTGGAGGTGTGGTTCAAGCAGTAGAGCGCCTTCTTTGCAAGAGTGAAGCCCTGAGTTCAAACCCCAGTCCACCAAAAAAACAATAATAATAGTGTGTGTATGTATAAATGTGGTTCATATAACAAAGCTATTAGCCTCTGGGCATTGTTTTCCTCAGTTTATTTGATTTAGCTATGCTAATAATGTTTTAAGAAATAAATTTTTGATTACTTGAAATCTATTAAGTTGAGAAAATAAGGACTTTTAAGACAAATGATCATATCATTTTCCCAGTTTTTTATTTACTGACATTCTGAGAAAACTTCTGTGACTACATTTTAGTTAGTATCTCTCACAAGTTCAACTAACTTACTATTTCTAGACTGACTTATAGCTAATCACAGGATAAGACTAGCTAAATTTCAATTATAAAGATCTTAGTGGTAAAACACATGCGTTAACAATAACAAGAACACTGCATAGTTGTTCACTCCCCTTATAAACAAATAAAATTTGATCTGTGACACTTAATATAGTGTCTTATTCTGAAATGTACTATATAGGAGAAAATTATTTAAAAGATCCTTCACACTGATTCATTTCTGTATTAGAAAATAATCAAAATTAATAAAAGAATCAAAATTTGTATTTCTGTTTTTAAAAGTTGAAGTTAGTATGCTTTAGCTAACGGCAACTTTTGTGACTAAAGAGTAAGTTAAAACTAACCTTTTCTGATGAACTATTTTCCATTTTTTTCTTTATAAAAGCTTTGAGACACCAGTAGAAAATGATATATCACTAGTACATATCTGAGTTCCAGCAAGAAGTGCTTTAAAATTATTTTCCCAGTGTTCGTGGGCACCCAGGGTTGAGAGTCACGCACAGAAACTTCTGCATTAAGATTATTTCTGAAGCACAGCTCGAAAAGCACTGCCAGATTCTAGCTGCAATGACAGCTGTTCTCATCATGCTTGCCAGGGACTTGGCATCAATGATGATCTCATGCAGAAAGAGAATAGAAAATCTTCTTAATGGTGCAAAATTCAGGAACACTTTGAATACTTTACTCAAAAGAAAACTCTCTCTTCTCTCAACCCTCCAGCCCAGCCCTCTCTATCATCCATTATTGATAGTTTTTTTCAAGTGTAATAATATTTGAATATATAAATTTGACATTCAAATATTAAATTTCCCCTGTCTTTGGCCTGAACCTTCAATTCTTAAAATGTAAATGCAACACACTCGGGACTAGAAGAACATTAAGTAAAATCAGACAATTAATGAAACTGACTTTTTCAGTTACAGTAAGTAACTAAATTTTCTACTTACAATAAAAGTTTCCTTAGAGTAGAGTTTGATTGGAAATATTACTAAATACCATGAGTATGAAGGAAGGGTGAGAAATCTCCAAAGGAGGTTAAATGCACAAGAAGATCCAATCTACCTAACAGTTATTCCTAGTTTTCATAGTCTAGATAATTTCTCTTTTCAATGGAATGGGATACCCAAGGAACAACAAAGAAAACGTTCTGCTAGTATACTAGCTAAGCACTTTTTATCATAATAACAACCAAAAGTACTAACCAGTTATCCATAGAATTACAAACTTGAAGACACTTTGAATTGAAGATGAGGATGCCAAACACCTCCATCCCAATTACTTGCCACAAGGTTGCTCAGGTAGAACTGCAGGAGAAGATGCCAGGTGCTCCATTCCATTACCAGATGAGATGAGACATGAGGGTCTTCCCTCAGCTTCCCAGTTTCCACACAAAATCACAGGAACTTGAGATCAACAACGAAAGGATTTCAAAAAAAATCTCATGAAAAAAAGAGTCTCACAAGGTGGAAATTTTAGAAAGGACCTATTTTAGTATGATAGGATAAAATAGGGAGAAATGGGGAAAATGAGAAATTAAAGGGAGGAAAAAAAGCACCTCCTGCTTGCATCCCCTTGCAACCAGGAGATGAGCTCAAAAATGGTGGTCTTTCTGGGTTTCTTTAAGCTGGGGAAATACATGTGGGCATATCATCTAGATGCATTGATTCTGGATGGCTAAGATGGGTGCCATTTATTTTTTTTAAAACATGCTTATATGATCTAGGTCTACCCAAAACACAGGTACAATAGGGTTTCAGAACTTCCCTTTGCCAGACATGCCTTCCGATTTTCTGTCACACTACCTATTCAAAGAGGCTTGAGCTTCTACATCTAAAGAGGAATGCAGAAGCAGAGGTCCCTGTATCTCTCCCTGTTCTTGTAACTTAACATGTAGAAGGAGGGGAAGAAAGAGGAGCTTGCTGCTCTGTTTTTTTCAGTTTTCCTACCTGTTCTAGTTACTGAGTCCTGTTGCCTCATCTATCTATATTGCTTCAATCCTTTGAGATGCTGATAAGCCAGAGGATATATTTTTTAACCAAACAGTCGCCCTCTCTGGTGTTCTATCTCACAGTAAGGTGACTATATAAATAATGATAATTTACTATATATTCCAAAAAACTAGGAGAAAGTTTACTATTTTCACCACAAAGAAACGATAAATGTTTCATTAGATAGATATGTTTACCCTGATTTGTTGTAGGACGGCTCAGACAGAGAGATGGGACACCAAAGATTTAGGGAAGCAAGTTTATTAAGCAAGCTACAGCAACTCAGTGCACTCGAGTCCAAAGGCTGGGCCCCAAGAACAAAGGGGGCTTTCATTATATACCATTTAGAGCAGGTTACAGAAATGGGGGCTACAGCTTGTCATTGGCTATTTTAGCCTCTGGGGCGAAGTGACCCTCCTCTAGTCTCACTCCAGATGCTACATGACATTCTCCAAATCCGGTTTTTTGTGTTTGTTTCACTGTTGCACTCATTATCTCTCATTATCGCCCTTCTCCCTCCCTGCCTTCCTGCCACAATTTGATGATTGCAAAATGTATACATGTATCAAACATCGCATGATACTCCTTAAATATATACACTTTTTATGTGTCAATTTCAACAAATAAGTATTTTTTTAAAGTCACCTTCTCCAGGTGACTCTGATTCCCACTGCTAAAAACTCCCCCTTCATAAGCACAATTCCACACCCAGTGCAATGATGTCACAGAACCTCACAGTGACAAGTGACCACTATGACTGCTGATTGATTCCCAGGTACCATACACACTGAGGGAGCAAGGAAATGTCAAATTATTTTTTTGTATATCCTGTTTTCTGAAGCTCATAAACAAACTAATACATTCTATGTTTTTTCCCAATTATGATTAAAATGGAAAGCAATTTCTGGCTAAATATAAACCAATTTTTCATAACACTATTTTCCCTGAATATCTTTAAGTAGTAATTTATTACAAAATAGTAATGCATGTATAACACAATGATTTGTTTTTTCTTTCCTTGGATAGAACCTAGACTTCTATCAATGAGATCTTTAAATGTATCAAAACGTTTGCCAGGTATTTGAAATGGCTATGCTGGTCTCTTCTAAAAGCAGTGAAATTGATAGCATCTTAATGTTCTTTCAGCTCTTAGATTTTATGATTAAAATTTTAATGTCTCAATGACTGCTAAAGCAATCCAAATTTTAAAAACTTGGGCAGTATTCTAAGGAAATGTTCAGAAGAACAAATTCAAGGTAAATATCTGTCTTTGCATCCTTTCGATATTCACAAAAAAGAAAAACTAATCCGATCTCATTAAGCAAAAGCACTTAATGGTACCATCTACAGGAAGCAACAAATACAGGTCCTAGAAGGCAGAAGGAAGAATTTAACTGGGATTGAGAGTTTAGGTTGTATTTCTTCAATAATATATTTATGTGATTTGTAAAACATAATTTCTGAATGTACTTATCTATAAATTCCAGAGTGAGAGAAAAGGCATATGGAATTTTGACCTTGTTCTAATTTAAACTCCATTAGTTTCATTTTTGTGTTTGTAATTTTTTTTACTTTCACAGATGTCTCCAATGTCTCACTCGAGCCCTTCCCTCGCATTCCTGATGACACACACCAAAATGAAATTCTCAATGATACTTTCAAAGACACCGAGAAGCTTACAACAGTAAGAAGTTCTGAATCAATCTACTCTTCAAATGTTTATTGTAGGAGTTTTAGCAGAACAAGAAAATAGAATGGGTAGACTACCTATTCAATATGACTACTGCACATTTTCATTATTCTGATTAAGTCAATGACCTTCTCCTATTCATTATTTTTACTTCCTCTTAAGGAATGAGGAAAAACATAGTTAAGAACTAGAATAAGGTGGGAGAATTACAGGAAACAACTTAATTCTAAGCTCTGGAAGGCAGGGCCCTTCCACCCTGGTGCCTAACAGAGCCACATATATAGTAAGGACTCACCAAGCTTTAGAGCAAATCAATTAATCAATCAATCTCCTTCTGAAATATAAGGCCATCTTGACAGCAAGAGACAAGGTTTTGTATTAGTCCAGCATGAATAGGTCAAATAGATATTAAAATCCTTAACATCAAAATGGAGGAAAATAAAAACAGTATTCTAAAGCAAAGATGATAGCCATCACTCTGAGTGAAGAAGTATGCAGATGAGAGAATTGCTGCAGAATTTAATGTTGATTATCAACATGGGGGAATTTTTTATTAGGATATATTCATTGTACAAGGAGGATTCATTGTGACAATTTCAAATAGGTTTATATTGTACATTGGTTAGATTGCCCCCACAATCTTTTCCCCTTAACTCCATCCCTGCCTCAAAATGGGGAAATTTTTAACCTCCCCAGAAGCTTGGAGCCCAAACACTCAGTGCTGAATCAGGGAAGCACTGCCTTCATTACTCATGATTGGTAGAGTTGGGACAGCCCAAGGGAAGCAGCAGACTCCAAAGGGGACAGTAATACAAGGAATGACAACCCAGAACTCTCATGCTTACACTGACACCGGCATCCACTCCTACACTGTTGCCTGTCCCTATCCTTCATCCTCCCTCCAAGGAAAAGGGTAAGGTAGGACAAAAGCAGAACATTTTGTCACACCAGTTCTTTGAGAAATCAGGGATTAGCATCCTGCAGACCATTCTCTCCGCTCTTCAGGCCGGATTGCGGCAGGTTTGGCTGAACTATTGCTGTGAACATAGAATACAAAATACTGTTTTATCTGAAAATTTCTCCTACAATAGTGAAAGTATTATTGGAGAAATTATTGACTATAATTCAATATATATTTACTGTAAAATTTCTAAGATAACTAGTCTGTCCTTCCTCTTTTCTCACATCACCTGTCCTCCATCCCCTTCAAAATATAATTTAGGTCACTCCCTCTAAATATTTCATTTGACATTCATCACATCCTCTCCTAACAGCCTCTCACCATTCCCATCGATTGCCTCTTCATTCAACAAATGCTGACTAAAATCTGCTGATGTGCCAGGCATCAGACTATGGCACCAAAGATGAGCAAGAAATAGTTCCTGCTTCTAAGAAATGTATAATGCAATTGAATATAACAAAAGAGTTCAGCGTTATGATTGATGACAACTGTAAAGACTAGGACAAAATGGCATGCCAACCCAGACACTGATGGCTCAAGCCTGTAATCCTAGCTACTCTGGAGAAAGAGATTAGGAAGATCACAATTTGAAGCCAGCCCAAGCAAAACAGTTTGCGATACCCTATCTTGAAAAAAACAAGCACCAAAAGAGGACTGGCAGAGTGGCTCAAGGTGTAAGCCCTGAGTTCAAACCCCAATACTGTAAAAAAAATAAAATAAAATGGCATGGCAGCATAGGTTGCGGGGGGATGTAATCCTTAGTCCTGTGTTCACTGAGTTTTATAAATAAATGGCCCCATGCTTTTGGGTTGAGGAGATTTAGTGAAGTATAAGAATCACATGGGTGCAATAAAGCTTGCATATAAAAAGAAGACAGCAGGTGAGTGTATGATAGGTACCAAATAAGATGTTAATTCACGCTACAGGAGTTCAGAAAGGAAGAAAAATGTCTAGGCCCTAGCTGGTTAGAGGAAATATTTTAGATGAACCATGGAATACTGATAAGAAGTAAAGAGCATGTATGAATGACTGTGTGTGTGTGTGTGTGTGTGTGTGTTATTCTGGAAGTGAGGAGTGGCAAGGAGAATTCCTGGTAAGAAGACATACGTAATACAAGCAATTTGGTGCCTGGGCAACCTGGCATTCCGGGCAGAGGAGAGTGAAACTAACATTGTTCAAACAGGTTGAAATAAGACTATAGAGAGTCTTAAATGTCAAGAAAAAGAGTTTGGGTTTTAACTCATAGATAATAAGAAACCTCTGAAGGTACTAGGAATATGACAAATTCATCCATGTTTTATATATGTGAATTTTAAATAATATAGTACCCATCCAGAGTCTGGGAGAAGAAGGATGATGAGAAATTTGATGGAAGTGGACCAAGTTTCAGTTAAACATAAGGAAGAAGATATAAGCATAATAAGGAAGACAAAGCGTTTTTGCTAGTTGAGTTAAGGATAGCTATACAGAGAGATTCCTGGCATTGCTTTGATGTACAAATGTGTTACATCCAAGCTGATTCATCACATGATTTTTGGTCCTCTGAGCCTGCCTAACCTCGCTCAGAATGATGTTCTCCAGTTCCTTCCATTTACTTGAGAATGATAAGATTTCATTCTTCTTCATAGCTGAGTAAAATTCCGTTGTGTATAAATACCACATTTTCTTTTTTTTTTTTTTTTTTGTTTTTGCATACTTGATATCTTTACTTGTATATCAAAGACAATACTTAAAATTGGGTTTGGGATTTTTTTTCCCTTGTACGTCTGAAGGCCATACAAGTTCCATTTTATCTGTCAACATGTATTTGTCTTGTACACATTATTCCCTCTGTTTTAGGATGATGTTTTCCCATTGTTTTTATGGCATGGTTATTCTGTTCTGCAAGTCTTAGGTCAGATGTCGTCCTCTTTTTTTTTTTTTTTCATTTTTCTTTTATTATTCATATGTGCATACAAGGCTTGGTTCATTTCTCCCCCCTGCCCCCACCCCCTCCCTACCCACCCACTCCGCCCCCTCCCACTCCCCCCCCTCAATACCCAGCAGAAACTATTTTGCCCTTATCTCTAATTTTGCTGTAGAGAGAGGATAAGCAATAATAGGAAGGAACAAGGGGTTTTGCTGGTTGAGATAAGGATAGCTATACAGGGCATTGACTCACATTGATTTCCTGTGCGTGGGTGTTACCTTCTAGGTTAATTCTTTTTGATCTAACCTTTTCTCTAGTAACCTGTTCCCCTTTTCCTATTGGCCTCAGTTGCTTTAAGGTATCTGCTTTAGTTTCTCTGCGTTAAGGGCAACAAATGCTAGCTAGTTTTTTAGGTGTCTTATCTATCCTCACCCCTCCCTTGTGTGCTCTCACTTTTATCATGTGCTCATAGTCCAATCCCCTTGTTGTGTTTGCCCTTGATCTAACGTCCACATATGAGGGAGAACATATGATTTTTGGTTTTTTGAGCCAGGCTAACCTCACTCAGAATGATGTTCTCCAATTCCATCCATTTACCAGCGAATGATAACATTTTGTTCTTCTTCATGGCTGCATAAAATTCCATTGTGTATAGATACCACATTTTCTTAATCCATTCGTCAGTGCTGGGGCATCTTGGCTGTTTCCATAACTTGGCTATTGTGAATAGTGCCGCAATAAACATGGATGTGCAGGTGCCTCTGGAGTAACAGTCTTTTGGGTATATCCCCAAGAGTATTCACATTTTCTTAATCCATTTGTCAGTGGTGGGGCATCTTGGCTGTCTCCATAACTTGGCTATTGTGAATAGCACTGCAATAAACATGGGTGTGCAGGTGCCTCTGGAGTAACCTGAGTCGCATTCTTTTGGGTATATTCCTAGGAGTGGATTGCTGGATCATATAGCAGATCTAAGTTTAGATTTTTAAGAAGCCTCCATATTTTTTTTCCAGAGTGGTTGCACTAGCTTGCATTCTCACCAGCAGTGTATGAGAGTACCTTTTTCCCCACATCCTCGCCAACACCCATTGTTGATGGTGTTTTTGATGATGGCTATTCTAACAGGGGTGAGGTGGATTCTTAGTGTGGATTTGATTTGCATTTCCTTTATGGCTAGAGATGGTGAACATTTTTTCATGTGTTTTTTGGCCATTTGAATTTCTTCTTTAGAGAAAGTTCTGTTTAGTTCAGTTGCCCACTTCTTTATTGGTTCATTGATTTTGGGAGAGTTTAATTTCTTAAGTTCCCTGTATATTCTGGTTATCAGTCTTTTGTCTGATGTATAGCTGGCAAATATTTTCTCCCACTCTGTGGGTGGTCTCTTCAGTTTAGAGACCATTTCTTTTGTTGTGCAGAAGCTTTTTAATTTTATGAAGTCCCATTTGTCCATTCTTTCTCTTAGTTGCTGAGCTGCTAGGGTTCTATTGAGGAAGTCCTTGCCTATACCTATTGCTTCCAGAGTGTTTCCTGCTCCTTTCTGTACTAACTTCAGAGTTTTGGGTCTGATATTAAGGTCCTTGATCCATTTTGAGTTGATACTAGTACAGGGTGATAAACATGGATCTAGTTTCAGTTTCTTGCTGACAGATAACCTCTTTTCCCAGAAACATTTGTTGAAGAGGCTGTTTTTCTCAGCCTCTTCATATATTTTGGCCCCTTTGTCAAAAATGAGGTGGGTATAGTTGTGTGGCTTCATATCTGGGTCCTCTGTTCTGTTCCACTGGTCTTCATGTCTGTTTTTGTGCCAGTACCATGCTGTTTTATTGCTATTGCTTTGTAATATAGTTTGAAGTCGGGTATTGTGATACCTCCAGCATCGCTCGTTTTCTGAGTATTGCCTTGGCTATTCGCCATCTCTTGTGTTTCCAAATGAACTTTAGGGTAGATTTTTCAATCTCTGTGATGAATGTCATTGGGATTTTGATGGAAATTGCATTAAACATGTAGATTGCTTTTGGTAGTATAGCCATTTTTACTATGTTGATTCTACCAATCCATGAGCATGGGAGATCTTTCCATCTTCTGTAGTCTTACTCGATCTCTTTCTTCAGTGGTTTGTAGTTCTCCTTGTAGAGGTCATTCACATCCTTTGTTAAGTTTTCTCCCAGGTATTTGATTTTTTTTGAGGCTATTGTTAATGGAATTGTTTCCATATATTCCATCTCAGTTTGTTCATTCTTGGTGTATAGAAAAGCCAATGATTTTTGTAAGTTGATTTTGTATCCTGCCACCTTGCTTTAGCTGTTTTTGATGTTTAGGAGTTTAACTTAATTTCTAAATACAAATATTAATGCAGTGTCTGAGAGTAACTTCAGTACTACATTTTTAAAAAACTCACTAAAGTGTTTTGTGTGAACCTCAAATCTGCCTCATGAAATGGGAAACATCTAAACATGCAGTACTTTTAACAACACATAGATCCTGACAGTGTGCCACACCCCTACAGATATTCAATGGGTACAATTTGACTGAACAAAAGAGAATCTTTTAAACAAACATCAGTAGTCTACTAAGTGTCAATCCACATCCTTCTAAGATTGTGCTGCTGTCCACACACATGGAAGAGAGGAGTTTATGACAAGTGATAAGGAGAAAACATATCCACCCCCACTCACATGGTCTCTGTTCTTCATTGGCAGTTCCCATAGAATGTTCTTTCCTTTCAGCTTCCTTAGCTCCAGCTTCACTATAACACACCACGTACAGAACCAGAGGCTCTCAATTTCCTGCAGACTTATTTCTTACCTGTTTGCAAAAGCTGTAACCATCTCAGTATTCTCTGGGTCCCTAAGGCTGAAAATCTGTCAAACCTCAAGTTTGAGTCTCAGCTCCAATCTCACTCTGTGCCCATGTGAATTCAGAGTGGAGAAAGACCCCTGCTTGTTCCCAGACTAACAGGCAAGGATGACCTCTGACCCTTTATGATGGAGGCCAAATCTAGGTCCTTGGAACAGTGCTTCTGTTCTCAGCCACATGCCTCCAACCATGGCCTACTATTCCTTCTGAGAAAAATTTCAAACATTATCTTAGCTTGATAGCATTGTCCAAGCATTTTCAGTGTGAAGGTTAAGTGAAGAAGTTCTCATTAAATTGGTCTGGATGCTTCTCTAAGAAGGATTGTATTTAATAATATCTCCACATCCATAGATTACTTGGTTTAGTCAAATCCTCAAAAAAGAATATTTATGAAATAACCCAACAACATGGTATGAGCCCAGAGAGGCATCAGTGATGCTTATATATGGAAGTATACATGGGTTTTGGGGTGCTGAGGTATATGTATATGTTTATAAATGTTTTCTTAAGGATCACAGGGTCATAAAATGACAGTGTTCTCAACTACTCTAAATAGTTAAGTCATTGGAGTTTTAGTACTTTTTCTCTCACTGAAATTCAGAGATTACTTCTAATTAATAAGATTTTATTCTAAAAGCACTGGAGCCTTCATAATCCACTTCTTGATATAATGCCAATATATTGTATAAAATAGTTATTTGTTTGTGGTTTGCATTAATAGAAGTCCTTCTGTTTTTTTAACTCAGGAAAGAGAAAAAGAATTCACTAATATGTCTGAGGGCCCACTGGACCAGAAGGTGGAGTTCAGCATCTCTCTGCCACACCAGAGGTTCAAGGCAGAGCTTGCTGACTCCAGGTCTCCATACTACCAGGAGCTGGCAGGAAAGTCACAAGTGCAGGTGAGTGGACCAGCCCATGCACTCACTTCCTAAGTCATGATCCAGAGTCTGGGAGTCAACCGAACATACATCCTTTTGGCTAATAGTTCCAATTTCTTGTGACCAGAAGTCCATTTTTAACCATTAAAAAGAAAACAACACTACAGTAAGTCCCCAGAATATGAGAACAAATTGCCCATTCTTGTTTTTCCATTTTTAAACATTGTTTACATTTAGATTTTCTTTAAATGTTAGTAGGTTTTTAAACATCATTTAACTGAATGCTATAGATATCCTGGATGTCTAGAAGACCATTGTAGTCATAGTTTCATGAGTACACACTTATCCCCAAATTCATGGAGATGTATACGTTGAATATGCTCAGCTCTGGGACAGGATCTCACTATGTAATCCAGGAGACTCTCAAACTCTGGACCTCCTGCCTCTACCTCCCAAGTGCTGGGTTCCCAGGCATGTACCTCCGTGCCCAGTATTTTTAACTTTTTATATGTCATTCATACATCAGTAAAGTGGATTAAAATTTTTTAAAGAATAAAATAAACTGACACCACAGTCACCAACCAGAGAATATGCTGGTTTGTAATATGAATTTTTAATTCATACTATTTTGTCTCTATATTATATTTCCACTTTTTGCAGTTTGATGCAATTTAAAGACATGACATTTTTCATGGATGATAAGTACAAGGCAATTAATTATACTGTGTGTCATCAATTACTAAACAGAGCAATTTTCCCAAGATGTCTTTTCCATCCTTGACTATCGTCATATCTATCTGTCTCTGGTTGAACCCAAATGCTCTTTAATTTTCTGCAGAATAAATCCAACTGCAATGGTAAGTGTAGCATCTATAGCCATGATAAGACTCCTGCCTTCTTTTTCAGCCTTGTCTTATGATAGCTCTTTATCATCACTCTCCTTTGCACCTTACCTTCCAGAAATACAGACTTTGCAATTTTTTCTTACTTTAGCCTTTACTTCTGCTACCTCCTTGGACCTGAATGTCCTTACCCAAGTTTCATTTAAGTGCTTCATCATAGAAAGTTCCTTCTACCCACTCTGAGTTCAGAGTCACTCTGCTGGGCTCACTAACACCTGCTGTATACTGCTGTCATGGCACTAACCACCTGCCTTGAAATAGCTTGTTTACAGGCCCATGTCTTTGCTGTCTCTGCTCCTCCTTGCATTGTGAGAATAAGGTGAGTCGTAACCCTCACCACACCAGGCTCTGGACTTCCCTTGACAGTAGAAATTGTTTCTTTCATCTCTGAAGCCCCTTAATATAGAGTTTGGGACAGTAATTGTTATCAGTGCAACTGAAAAACAGAAGTGTGGTGAGATTACATAACCACTAACCACATTTATGGATAGTCTGGGTACACATGAATCATACTCAGTAAATCCAGGGAACAAATGGATCCCACTTCTCACACTTGAAAATTTCATCCTCACCTCCTCTCACCCAAACAGGAGATGCATTTGTGAAACATTCTCAACCTCAACCCCTACCTAAATCAGCATTCAGTCAATAAAATATAAAGCACCACTTCTAGCAACTTCAAAGAGAAAGAGTCAGCATAGGGTGTTTATGAGCCACACAAATACTTAGACATGGATTATTAGATAGAATGAACTACAGAATAGTTTGTTCAAAAGTTTCCATTTTAGGGGTATAACTCAGTGGTAGAGCATTTGACTGCAGAAGTTTCCATTTGTTCTTAGAAGCATTCTTTCCAACAAATCCTTAATATAGTCAGAGCATCTTCAAAGTTACATAATTGGCCAAGACTCTTCACTGATCTTTTGGTAATTCTCTAAATACCTAAACCAATGTAAGGGAAAGTAGCAAACACTGTAGGTGTTTAAAAAAAAACTGAATTTTAGCTCCTATTTCTGTCAAGAATTAGCCATGAGAATTTAGTCCTCAATTCCTTTCCTTGCCTTAGCTTCCTCACTTAGAAATTGAAAATGGTCACAAAGTCCCTTTCCATGCTCAACTTTCTAACTGCTGTATAAAGAAATGATGGATAGCACTACTCTTAATGCTTTATCTGTGATAATTCATTTAATTTTTCACACAATCTTATAAGCAATATTATTTCTCTTTTTAGTAAGTGGGGAAACTGAGGCACAAGGAGGCCAAGTAATGTTCCCCCAACAGATGACACATCTGTTATCTGACCCAGGCAGTCTGGCACCAGAAACTTTGCTCTTCACCACTGTCCTATGTCTCCTATTCTTCCCAAATAAATACTTGCAGGGAAAGGACTACTGGGCATGCCCCTTCTGGTCTCTGAAAAACTAAGTAGGCAAAGAAGATTATGTCTTGCCCAGTCTTTTTCTAAAGACCCATCACATCAATCCTGCTGTTCCTTTGGCTAAGTCTGATTCTCTATGATGGAGCTCCTCTGTTTCTACCATCTGTTCCTCTCCTAGGTTCCTGAGCAGGACCACCCCAGGGTCTGCCATCAGAAAACCAACCTGCCCACCACAGCCCTGTGCCTGCATTACCACAGCCATTCAGACTTAATTAGGAATTAATGGACAGTGCTTTGCAGTAATTTAATTTCCACAATAAAGCTAATGAGCAATTTAATACAAATGTCATAAGGAATCACTTGGTTGTTGTCTGAATGCTTTCTTTGCTGCAAACATTCATGGCAACCTCAACACAGCTGCTTTTTATACCCCCGTTAACATACATTCCAGCAGAATCTAGCAGACCCCTGTGCGTTTAGTATTATTAATAAGGTTAACTGGGCACTTAATTAGCAATTTAGTGGCTAGTGCTCCATGATTGGAAGGTTCCCCAGAAGATTATTTAGCAGAATTAATTGAAGGCTTTTGTCATCTCCTCCCTTGACACCATCTACACCCTCCTAAGCAAAGCTGATTCTTAATCAATGGCAGACAGGTTCACAAAGAGGGCATGAACACAAACAAACAATAAATTCTCTCCAGCAGAGCTCATGCCTAGTGTGGAGCGCTCCTGGAGGGGAGAACAGCCTCCCCATCGCCACTCCCTGCTGCAGATGCTCAGCTGCAGGCTCTGCAGAGGGGTTCTGCACTTGATCGATTGTTGTCATAGGAAGAAGAGCATCTCTGAAAGAGCTGTGCTTCCAAATCGGAATGTCCTGCTCCCAACATTGTAGCTGACACTCAAACCTTCTGACCCTTTTAACTGGGACAGTCCCTGTTGCTGGAACAGTAAACAAATTCTCTGTGGCCTCAATGCTGTTGGCCATAGGAGACCAGAAAAGACTTGAAGCCTGAGCACATCCATCTGTTCCTGCTCATGATAAAGACCAACTCTGCAGAACTTGGCCTCCCAGCTTTTCTCTGTTACATCTATACAGGATAGAAGTGGAGTCACAGAAACTTAATCACCCAGGCTTCCTGCTCTATCTCTGATGGGACCCACATTATGCTTGTCCCCTTGAGTTTAAAAAAAAAAAACTGACTGAAGGCTTGCTCTGCCCTTACCACACTACTATGTGGTCACTGGAGGAGTAAGAAAAAACCAGGCTCTCACAGAGCTAGGAATCCAGTGGTGAGTCTGATAGAAAAAAAGCAAATAAATAGCATAGCATCACCAACAGTATCATCTCTGCCAGGCACTCCTTACAGCAACCTTATGGCACAGGTATTCTTATCCCATTTTGCCCAAGGGCACCAAGAGTCAGAAAGACTAATAATAATCTCAAGATCTTGCAGCTAGAAAGTAATGGAACCCAGACCTATATAAGTATCTCCTTATCACCCAAAAGCCAGGCTACCTTCATCATTGCAGTTCCTATAGGATCAGAATATGAAAACTATTTTTAATATTAGCACAAGAAAGTATAATTACAAGGCAAGTCAGTCTACTGTGAAAAAAATTCCATGATGCAGTGCAAAGCCCAGTATCAGTGATTCCGGGATTATCTGTGCATCGCTGCGCTAGTCCCTGGCACGGGAAATGTAGAGTCACTGTAATTTTAGATTCAGTGGTATGTTGATGAGTTTGAAGAGGGAAGAGATGTACTAAATTCAAACAATATTTGCTGAGTCCCTACTATGTGAATGGCAATCTGTTAAGCACCTAAGGCAAGAGAGATAAAGATGCATGAACAAGACATGGTCCCTGAGCAGGGACCATGATCTGGGTGAAGGAAATGGACATGCACCTCACAGACCTTGCATGGTGTAATGAGGTCAAGAGTGACAGAGAGAAGAAATAGTGGCATCTGATTCTGGAGCTCTCTCTACAAATGCTTTTCAGTAGAGAAGACGCTAGAGCTGGCTTTAAAAATAGGTGTGGGCAGGGAAAGCAGTCAATGAGCAGAAGATGGAGGATGGTACAACTTGGGCTAAAGGAAAATAAACTAGAGGAGCCTGGAAAATAGACGTGTGTGTTGTGTATGGGGAGAGCCAAGGTCAGTTTAGTGTCACTAGAGGACAAGATTCCGGCCAGAGACATAATCATGGCAAGAAGTGCATCTGATAAGGCAGCTGGAATGGAGGGGGACAGGTACAGATTCAGGAGGGTCTTAGATGTCTTTCCAAAGAATTGGACCTCATTCAATAGGCAGTGCACCCATCAAGAGATTTTTAATGAAGAGCATCAGATAAAGAATGATTCCTTTAAGGAAAAAAAAACTCCTGGAAAACCATCTCTTTTCCTCTCCACACACACCCAGCAATGCAATGCAATAGAAGAGACGGGGAGTATGCTGGCTGTGGAAATAAGAAGACTGTCGTGGAAGTATTACTGGTGGATGGTCTCCACCCTGCTCAAGAGTTCTCAGGTCCTTGTATCTCGGAACAAAGCATCAGACAGAGACACGGATTGCAAGCAGTAGAAGAGTTTTATTGAAAAAATAAGTATACAGTGTAGGAAACTCCACAAGACAGAACAGTGGACTTTGGCCAGATGGCACAGAAGCCCTGATCTTCGTTCAAAGAGCAATTTACAGGTTGTAAGGACAAAGGTCGGGAAAAAGCCTGGGCAGTCTTTGCAGAAGGAGGTAGGGTGATTGACAGATTTGATTGACAAGAGGATGTTATATAACTTATTTTTGACTGTGCAATGCATTTTGTTATGTTATTCTGTATGGGGCTTAAGTAGGGGGATGTCTCAAAAGCTCATCTGAGGTCAGGTTCCCCAGCCCTCAGCACATGTGCTAGCCCGGGAATTTCCCTTTTGTACAAATATTCTCTTTTATCATAATGTAGTCGTTATTGAGTTAACCACACAAAGGGTGGGGGGTGTGCTAGAGACATTCCTAACCAGATGTCTCCTCAAGAGGGTATGTCCTAGATAGAATTTGGGACATGTCCTAGGTGGGACTTTTATGACATTTTATATCTGGTCAGTCTCTACCCACTTCTTGACCAAACTGTACTTCTCTATCTTCCTGCCTTAGAAGTAAAAGACATTGTGGGATTCAAACTAATAGGAGTTAGTGTGAAGATCATGGGGACAGGGTATCCAGGGCTCCTGGGCTTTCTGGCATGAAGACGATGTATATCCTGACCTTGACTGAGGTACAGAGGCCTGGAAAAAAGAGATGTGGGAGAAACAGAGTAACCCTGGTTTGGGCAGATTCAGTTAGTGGAAATGTTGGATTATTTGTGTGAAGAGCGCAAAACTGTGTATCAGGTGATCATTGAAGCCATTTGGGAAAATGAGATATCTTCCAAAAAGAGGGAGAAGGGAGGAGGACAGGTAAGGGAGGACAGGGTTGAGTTCCTGCTCACCTGTTCAGCCTCACCTTTCATCCTGCTCTCCCACCCAGGCTTCTCTACTAAACATCTATCCTTACTCTTAGTCTCTCTTGCCTCCCAGCCTCTCTACAAGGAATCTGGATCAGACAGCACTGGTCTGTGCAACAGCGCCCTCTGGACCTAGCCTGATGACTGCCATGGAGTTTATGGAATAAACAAGAAGAGTCAAGCAGGCTGTGGAGGCTAAGGATGGAAACTTGGAGACTCCTTATATTTAAAGGAGAGAGTGAAGACAGGAATCAGATGGAGAGAGCAGTGAGAGAGATGGAAGAGTAGGAAGGAGGACAGCCCTGTGAAGGAGGCACAGAAAATGCTACTAGATTTGTAGAGAGCCGAGTGACATTGACCTGGAGAGAACCCTGCATCATGGGGAGCCTAGGGCAGAGGGAGAAGACACAAACTGAGAGAGAGCTGGGGAGTGGCTGGGTATATGTTAATGCTTTACAGTTATAAACTACTCTGATAACAAGCCTCACTAACAAGGGCGAATTCATTAAGAAAATGTTGGGAAGTCTACATAAATCTAAAAGCAAGTCTAATCTGTGAGATTAGAATCTGTTTCTACCTCTTTGTTTAGGTACAGCAGCCATTTTGAAATTAATAATACCTTTAATATCACTGATACTTTCCAAATCACTTTCTGAATTAATTTCAGAAAATATTACAATCAACTTTAGAGTTTAGCAAATACTGTGTTACTCTGTATAAGTGAAAATCAGTAACCAAAACTGTTCCTCCAAATGCTACCTGAGGCTGAGGTTCTCAAATGGTAGAAGCTTAGCAAGAGAAAGCCCTGGGTTCAAACCCCATTCCACCAAAAACCAAACGAAATAAATGTCACCTTAAAGTTAGTTCACTTTTTATGTAACAGCATCTCAGAACTACCCAACTTCAACTTTTAAATAAAATACTTCCCTCTGGGTTTCAGAAACAACTGAGAACAAAGAGTTTCACTTTTTTCATTGTTTCATTTTTCCATTTTTATTTCCCCCTAACTCATCAAAAGTGTTTAGGCTTTTTCAGTTTGATAAGATCTGACCCAGTGGAACCAAAGAATGTTTCATAAATGTCTTTCTTTCTGCAGTTGCAAAAGGTATTTAAGAAACTTCCAGGATTCAAAGAAATCCATGTGTTAGGATTTAGGTAAGTAAGAGAATCAGACTCTTCTCAATTTTTAAATTACTTTCTCCTTTTCTCTTTTAAAAGCGATGTCAGGAGGATTTTAAGGTCCGTTTTCCCTCCATTGTTTAGCTCCTGATGACTGAATACAATTCAAATAAAGGAGCAGTCTAATTAGAACATGACTCTCAGTGATTTTTAGGGGTAGCACGGGATGTTGTTACTCTTTCTGGTGAAATACTGCCCTCTACAGAGCGTTCATCTGCTGTCCTTGGCAATGTCACTAATGAACCTCTTCGGAAAATACTTCAGTGGAGACAGATCCAAAAAAGTAGCAATTAATTGCCTTGTTTCAGATTGACTGGTTTCCTATCCAAGGCTAAATTTCATTATCATTTCAACAAATCATGTTACCCAAGAGACAGGTGAGCCTAATAAAAGGTGGTTCCTATGGGGTGGAGGGGTTGAAAGACTGAGGTGAACAGGGACAGGGTTTGTAAAAGCAAGACATCCCAAAACAAACCTTTTATATTATTTTAGTGCATGAACTATAGTAATTATTAAATGAAATTTTTGAATAAAAGAAATGAAAGCAGGGTATAATCATGTTCTCATGGCTTTGGCACAAGCAGACCTGTAACCATTGCCATCTCAACATTCCCCTGCAGGTTCATGGGTTTTGAAGAGAATATCTACATCCATCTCTAAGCTCTCGTTATTTCAAACGTCTACAGGCAGGATCATAAAATGTTATTTTTTTTAACAATGCCTCAGGATAAATATGAGTGGTGGCATGGGCAGAATGAGACTCATGCCCTGAAGGGGGTCTGTGAGTCAAGAAAGCCGGCCTGGCCAGAAGGTCCTCCTGTCTTCTGGTGCAAGCAATGCATGCAAAGAGCAGGGCCGGGGTGCCCTCCAGGGTTGCTGCTTCCACAGCTGTCAGACTCCTCTGATTTGTGTAACTCCAGAGGAAGGAAATATTGAAAAGTGAAAGTTATAAAAGATGAAACTCTTAATATTTACCACAGCAAACTCATTCTTCTTTATTTCAAGATGCTGTTCTGCAGTATTCCACATGAAATCAGATGGATTAGAGAAAAATAAAAGGTGATAGGAAATATTTTGCATAAATGGCAGGGTTCTCTGAACAAATCACAAACTAAAGAACAAATTTTTAATCTAAAAGCTGAAGAAAATGAGGAAGTCATTCTCTCAGTGAATGGTTACATGTTCATTATCACCTCCCTTCAATAAATGAAAGACTGATTTTAAAAATCTATTTCAGAAGAAAATCAAAATGTTAGATGATGAAAATTTCCAAGGTAAAACTTTTAAAGATGTATCCCTGGGAGATGAATCTTTCACAAGTGTTTATCTCTGTAAGGACTTTTTCTTATTTCTGCCAAAGAAGCTTATAAAGTAAGTTTAATCACATTTTGCCAATGATTTTCATTGTGTCATGGGCATTTTAGTTCACAAGGAAATAATTTGGCCCCTGCATTCAGTAAATGAGCAGACAAACTTTTCAGGATATTGTAAAGTTAGCTTATCACAAAGGAAATTGCTTTCTTCTGGAGCCAGATCCCCAAAACACTGAAACCCCATGAGTCTCATGGTAGATTTTCCTTCTGCTCATTTGTATAAAAGCTGATTTATAATTTCTCAAGTACTTTCCTATCAGTGACCTCATTCAATTTCTCAACACAACTGGAAAGTAGTTAGAACATCTATTATTAACACAATTTTAAGGATGAACAGGAAAAGGTCCACTTTAAATGTTGCTTTATCCCTTACAGCAAATGTGGGAATCTATTAATGTTCACTTGATCTAGTCAGAGCTGGTGCACAGATGTTCATAGCAACTTTATTCATAATGGCCATGAACTGAACACAAGCAAATGTCTATCATCAGAGCAGTAAACAAATAGCTGTAGCATATTCTTACTATAAACTCCTTCTCAACAAGGAATGAATTATTGAAATACATAACAACAAGGGGACCTCTCAAAATAACTGTGTTGAGTGAAAGAAGCCAGACAAAAGTGCACTATGATTACATTTATATTAAATTCTAGAAAATGCAAACTGATCTATAGTGACAGAAAACAGATCAGCAGTTGCTTGGAGAGGATGAGGTAGAGAGGGTACAAGGAGGAATTGTCTAGGGGCAGGATAAAGCTTTAGGTGATATATATGCTACTGACGTTGGTTGGGGTAGTGGTTTCACAGGTGTATAGTGTCAAACTTATCAAATTATATACTTTAAATATGCCCAGTTTGTTTGTGCAATGATATGTCAATAAAACAAGTTTTTTTAATTAGTAGGACGGGGTCTTCACCCAGGAAGCCTGCCCTCCCTCCTGAGCTTTGTGGATTATGAACTATTGCTGAAAACAAGCAAGAGGCAGGCCCTGGGTGAAAAGCTGGTAGAAAGAAGTCTCCTCCACAGAGCAGGGTTCCTTAAACAGTCATAGACTGTCCCTTGTCTCCACAGAGGGAAAGCAGTGGCATGTCTGCATCACATCCATTTCAGTTATGTTACATGAAAAGATGAAAGTTAAATGAATTTACAGTCCAGGCAGAAAGAACAGTGACACTTACCCCAACACATGTGTAGAGTGCCTTTTTAAGCAACTATTATTTGCAATGTAAAGAGAGAAAACTGAATATAGTTTGTGAAAGTAAATTCATATATATGCCCAGAGGAGCATAAAATATATCTGTCATTTTAGTGGGATCAAGGGGCCATTTTGCAGGCACAGACAGATGATGACACAAATCTGTCTGCCCAGGTTTGAGGGCAAACAGAACAGGTTTCAAATTCTACCTCTGCCATTTCCAACTGACACTTTCTTTCCCTGAGCATGTTCCCATACCTGGAAGTGGGGCTTGTGTTGTTGAAAACACTAAAGAAGAACTCAAATAAACTGCTTGGTGCAGACCACTCACGCAGTACACAGGTGGCTGCTTTTCTAACAAGCTGTCCCATGATGAATTGGACCAGTTACTGGTTCTAGGGGTCAGCCTCAAATAAATTACCTTCAGGAACAAACTCTTCATTTAATGCCATTTAGGAGGTAAGAAAATTATTTACAAAATACTTTAAAACTTTCTGGCAACAGTAGCACTCAAAATATAAGATGTGCAGGATATATTTACAGCCTCTTCAAGGAGTACTATGAAGAAATCAATGATTTTAGGAAGAAGATCATAAAAACAGGCTCAGAACCATCCAGTAATGATGTTTACATCCTGAGATGCACATGGCTCTCAAAATTTGCATCCAAATTCTGATGGCAGTAGATAGATGATAGATAGATAGATAGATGCTTCAAAGCTCTGAACAAACATAAAAGACAATGTAGGAAAAATTTTTGCATATGAAATAATTCATTGAATGCATCAATAAATCTCATAAAAATTCTTTCCCCTTGCATGTATCCATGGTGTGTGATGAAATGAAGACCAAAGAAAGAAACAGATGGGTAATTTGGACTTTTTTAATATTCTGAAATATAGTGTGTTTTCCTCTATAAGTTTATATGCTGCTGCTGTACAAATAAACATTATTTATTTGTTTATTTATACAGACAATTTTTATTTGTCTGGGATAAGCCAATGAGTTCTTAGTGTTTTCTTATTTAGATAGAAGTAATTGATCCATTAATAATTTTTAAAACTCTCTAATCAAAATCACTATATGGATAAGCAATGAAACACTGACTTAATCATCTGGAAAGGATCCTATAAAACTCAAGTTTTTAGAAAAATGTGCAAATGTCTCTGTGTGATGCAAATATGACTTAACTATTTCTTTAAATATTGTTTGAAATGGGAGTGGTTGGATTACACACATACGTGCCACCAACTAGTCTGATAAAAAGCAGAAACACTGCTTTGCCCCCTGGTTCCAAAGTCAGTTTAAACTGAGAAAGGACCCAGTATACCTTAGAGAGCTCAGAAATAAGAGTCTAACATTGGTTGCTACAACTGACTAGTGAAATAATGAACTGCAGACCCTGACTGACTGTGTGGTCTCAAGAACTGTCAAGACCACACACTGTCAGTTCCTGTGGCATTTAAAATATTTCTGCATCCCTCTGTAGATTTATAACATGAACCAAAAGATGAAAGCCTGATTCTCGAAGGCAGGGTTCTGGAGAATCCTGTTTCTTTTTTACATACAAAAGGGCATTAAAATAATAAATAAGATAAAAAATACAATTAATCATGTTCTACGTATGGTTTTCCTTCCTCTTTTTTCAGATCTTCCTTCTGTTATTCTATGTCCTGCTTCTGGTTATTTCATCTAGAAGTGTTGTTTGTTTAGTATGGGTTTTGGTTTTGGGTTTTTGTGTGTTTTTGAGACAGGGTCTCAGTATGTAGCCCAGGCTGGCCTCAAACGATCTGTCTATCCTCCAGCCTCAGCCTCCTGAGTGCTAGGATTAAAGGCATTGAAACCATGCCAGCCAAAGTTTTGGTTTTGTTTTTATACTTCGTAAAAAAAATACTTCGTGGGCTTGCAGAGTGGGTCAAGTAGTAAAGCACCTGCCTAGCAAGCATGAGGCCCTGACTTCAAACCCCAGTATCTACCACTTCGTGGAAGAAAGTAGAGAGAAATGGCCATAAGGAGTAAAACTTTGACTTGGTTGCAACATCCATAGTTTCTTGTATCACTACTACATCCTACATTGCTATTTCATAGACCTTCATAAAGGAGACTATTTGTAGAAAAAAGGACAATTCATCCTTCTTCCTAATTGTCACTGCATGACTTTTAAGACCGCCAATTAACATTGGACCATTAACACTTTTTCAAAAAGACATAAAGAAAATATGGATGGATTCAGTTCATAGTCCTTCTTTAACTTGGACTTTACCCCCAATGCTGACATTTGATATTAGAACTCAAAATATATGTTAATTCTTTCTCCACATTTCAAATTTCTATAAAACACTGAAATATTTTAAGTAGACTATTCCTTTAAAGCCTATCAGAAGAGTTTGAAGCTGTTCTGAAGACCTGCAGGATGACTGTCTTTAGGAGGTGTGTAACAATGGCTTTGGGTGCGATGTGTCTTCTACTGTTCACAGTTCAAATTCCATTGCAATACGCCTGACAGCCATCTTTAAGAGAGATAGCACAGAAGCAAAAAGCCCTGCAAGTGACCTCCTGTCTTTTGATTCCAACAAAATTGAAGTTGAAGGAGTCCATCATGGAGACACAGAGGACAACAAACAACCGGAAATGTACCTCAGAGGTGTGGACTTCAAAAAGCTGATCAGCGGGGTACTAGAAGAAGACCAGTCCTTGGATGTGAGAACAATTCAGTTCAGAGATGGTCAGTTGGCAATGTCACAGTCTTAAGTTTATCCTCATTCAGACATAGAAACTAGCACATGAATGTCTCATGGAAATTATCATTTCAACTCAGGCCTTATAAAGTCAATCATTACTGTGACAGGTACATCATGCATGGTACTATTTCTGTCTCTCCTCTCCAAATCCAGCATCTTGTTTAATGAGCCCTGGGTGACCACTTTGTACCAAGGAAAGAGGATAGCTCTAAGAGAATCCAATGACTTCAGCTCAGTCCAGGTCAACCATGATCAGCCAGTAGAGTCAGAGAGAACTCATGGACAGTTTCACTCCCATGGCACAACTAAACTGACACCCTCATCTCATTAGTTGGTCAGATCCCAGCAGAAATAGATGAAACATTGAAATTAGGATAATTTGAAGAGTATTTGATAAAGGGACAGCTCATAAGAGCTTGTCTATACTCAAAGGAATAGGGTAGTTTCCTAAGGCTAGAAGCAGCAAGGCTTCATTACTATCCCCAGGTATGAAGCATTGACCAATGATCTAAGCTGTCCCAAAGATAGAAGTGGAACCATTAATATAGTCTATATAAGTGAACCCCCAGAGCAGAAAGTAATAGCAGACAAGAGAATGGATCTAAAAAGGTCAAGATAATCAGACATCCTCAGGATTCTCAGAGGATGCCTGGAAGGACCCCGAAGCCCGGAACTCACCATCAGGCTCAGTACACAGTGTACGAGACGGACAGTGGAAAGGCATCTCCAGCACAACACAGCAGGAAACAGGCTTTAAGATGGAAGTAGGACTTCACAGTCAATCCTTGGTTGTAGGATTTATGCCAACCATCTCTTCCTTTGTCAGCTCAGTCATATTTTATCCCACTGGCCTAGCCAATCAGCCTAACTGCTTGGCCAAAATCTGTAGAAAAAAAGTGAACACCCTAAAAATCTACCTTAACAATTATTCTTTTTGTAACATTTTATAAATATTCACAGGTTACAATGTGCTTATTTGATACATATATACATTATGTTGTGATCAAATCAGGGTAATTAGCATATGTAACATGTCATACATTTATCATTTCTTTGTGATGAGAGCATTCAAAAGCCTCTCTTCTGGTGATTTTGGAATATATAATACATTGCTGTTAACTGTAGTCACCCCACTGAACAATAGAACATGGCACACCTTCCTCCTCTCCACTCACACCCACTGTTGTGCCCATTAACCAACCTCACCACCCCCCTCTCCCTTCATCCAACTCTTTCATCACATACACATGTAAAAGTAACCTTATATCTTTCCTTCAATGCATCATTCAGGTTAATGACCATCAGCCCATGTGAACCTTATTTCTTAATGACTATTTGCGCTATTCCTTAAGAATTAGTTATTGCCATATTTTTTTCTTCTTGGCTATTTTATTACCCCAATCATAAAAGAAAACAGAAACACTCCAACCTTGTAATTTTTCACCCACAGAAATTGGGTCATCACCAACCTCTGAACTTGACACCCAGTCAGAGCTGCCTAAGTCTCCTGCTGACATCACAAAGGTAAGTGAGTCACAAGGGAGGGGTGAGGATAGGTAAGACACCTAAAAAACTAGCTAGCATTTGTTGCCCTTAACGCAGAGAAACTAAAGCAGATACCTTAAAGCAACTGAGGCCAATAGGAAAAGGGGAACAGGTACTAGAGAAAAGGTTAGATCAAAAAGAATTAACCTAGAAGGTAACACCCACGCACAGGAAATCAATGTGAGTCAATGCCCTATATAGCTATCCTTATCTCAACCAGCAAAAACCCTTGTTCCTTCCTATTACTGCTTATACTCTCTCTACAACAAAATTAGAAATAAGGGCAATTAATAGTTTCTGCTGGGTATTGGTTGGGGGGGAAGAGGGAGGGGGTGGAGTGGGTGGTAAGGGAGGGGGTGGGGGCAGGGGGGAGAAATGAGCCAAGCCTTGTATGCACATATGAAAAATAAAAGAAAAATGAAAAAAAAAAAAAAAAAAAAAGGTAAGTGAGTTTGTTGACCTTCTCTTGTTCAACTTGGAACAAAGCCTCAAAAACTCTGACAAAAAAATCAGCTTAAGGACTAAATAGAAGAAAATTCCCTTTGCAATGCGAATTCTAATTTTTTTCTGTTTTTACAGGCTATATTTGAATAACCCACTTCCAGTAACTATATTAATAAAATGTCTCACAAATGCATTTCAAATATCCTAAAGTTCACTTTTCTTGAATTTAGTTAGATTAGAGTCAGAATTGTGCTCCATTTTTAATAAACACATTTTTATGAACTAAAAAGGAATAATCAAAGCACAGCATATTGTTTAATTTTACCTTTCAGAAATAAGTATAAATATAAGCATAACTTGTAAATTTATTTTTAATTCTTAAGATCTTACCTACATATTTATTTATGGGAGATGGCAAATGCAAATTAATGTCTTAGAAAGTAAAGATAAATAAATTCAGTAGTAACTTTTGCATTTAATTTACAGCTATGTTCACTTAATTTGTGCCAAAAGTTGTCACTAGAGTTTTCATAAATAGAAATGTTGACTAAGCTCTATTCCCTCATGAATGAAAGAATTTGGAAACTGAAACATGATTGGCACAATTCAAAGTATTTCCATTTTTAGTCAGGCAAATCAGTTGGCCATGAAGGAATAGATCATGTAATAGATTACTGAGTCAGTACATGTTATCATTTCAGGGCACACTTTTAAATCAGAGTCTACTTCATAGTAAATTCATGACAACTGCAAAATAATTTTTTTAACTTAAATATTAAAACTATGAAGTATAGCCCTTGTCATGTACAGAGAAATGTCCCTTCCCAACATCTGTCTTTCTAATCCATTCTTCAGGATGCTGCTTTGAGTTCAGGACTTTCTCTTAGTGAACCCAGGCTTGAGACAGTGGACAGAGAAGGACCTGGCCTACCTGGTGAGTCTCTTCCCACAGAGTCAATGTTAGATGACAACATTCTCTTTGGTGAATCCATCTATTTACTATCTCAAAGACCCACAATGAATTTATCTTCCACCCAGGAAAGTTCTGCTGTTAGCAGCATTTCCAGGGGAAGAGCATCCACTAAACAAGCCCCTTCTGAGAAGCAGGACACCCACATCATCCTTTCCTCAACTCTAGTTTCCCCCAGAGAGAACCAACAGCCTTTTCCTGATGGATCTAGTGAGGGAAGCTGACACCAATTGTTGCCCACCTCCATGTATTTATTGTGTTTGTTTATTTTGTTGTGTTGTGTTATGCTTGTTGTATTATTTAGGTTTTGAGACAGGATCTCTCTATGTAGCCCAGGCTGGCATCAAACTCATGATCCTCCTGCCTCAGCCTCCTGAGCACTGGTATTATAGATGTGCACCATCACACCTAGCTCATGTGGTTTGGTTTTGTTTTGTTTTTTTTAATTAGGGTGTATTAATTATACAAAAGTGTTTCATTGTGAAAGTTCCATACATGCATATAATGTACTTTGATCAAATTCATCTTCTCTAGTGCTAATTGCAAATAAGAAAGCCAGTAAACACTGAAATCCTCTTGATTCATATTTGAATTTCCAGTGAAATTAAATTTTGAAGCAATAGGATCAAACTTTTTCACAGTTAAAGAAACAACAATGTATGAGGACCCTGTGGAGTGGGGTAAAAATCCTGCAGAAGAACATTTTTTAGTGCAAAAAGTAAGCTGATTTAGAGGCTTTATAGAGGTCTCTGGTGAAACTACAAATAACAGTGCTTTTAGGGACACAAGTCCCAGGGTGCAAGGCTGATAAGGACACAATGTGATTTTAAATGTGAATGTCACTGGAGATTTGTTTTGGCTGGTATTTTAATAGGATTATTACTGTTTTGGTCAGGAAATTCCTTGCAAAATCCTTCCTTAACCCTATTTTCCTCATAAACTCTGTATAAAATAGGTAGGAAATTTTACAGAATACAATGCTTTTCAAGAATACATATATATATATATATATATATATATATATATCATGATTGCAGAACCTCCTGTACAAATTGGATTTGGTTTGCATGATTACCAGCAAATAAATGTTAACTTCATGACACAGTTGATTGCTGCATGACACCCAGTTCCTAAAGGCAATGGCTTAAAATAGCTACTTACTTTCCTATAAGTCTGAAATTTGGTCTGTGATCATTAAGGACAGCTCTTCTCTGCTCTATGCGTGCCAGGTGGAATATCTCAACTCATATTGAAGACCCATTTTCAAGATGATTCATTCACATGGCTGGCAAATAAACAATCAGAGCATTGACTGGTGGTTCCGTGTCTGCTCTGTGCAGACCTTTCAACAGAGCTGCCTGGGCTTCCTCACAACATTGTAGCAAGTTTGAAAGAGTCAGTATCCCAGCCTCTTAAGGGCCCAGAAAGAGCATCACTTCCTTCCATTCTGATAGCTAAGTAGCCATGGAAGCCACCTAGATTGAAGGGAGAAAACATAGATCATGTATCTTCATGGAGAATTATCAAAGATTATCAGGCCATTTATAATCAACCAAAGTTGACTTTTAAATCATTTAGAAGTTGGTTGAACATAATGAAACAGACCTTTAGGTGAAATGACAGATATTAAATGCTTACTGGATTGTTTCCTTTCATTATGAGATCATAAAATATTACTATAAAACAAGTATTTTAGGTAGACTAATAAAAATAATAGTGTATTCGTGACACAAGTATTACTGTATTTTCAAAATTGCTTTATTGTCTCATTTTATTCATATATTCCTTCCATCAGTAATGCACCATAGGACACTAAAGCTGGAAGGAATTTCAGAAATGAGATTGTTAAGTCACCATGCTTCACAGATGAGAAAAACAAGGCTAGAGAAGTGAAGTGACTTGATTTTAGAATAATTAGAGGAATGGATGTGTTGTGTAATTTTCAGTCAATGCTGTATAAGTAAAAACTGGTTGACCTGAGAAGATCACAGAACCAAGGCCATCAGTCAAGTTTTTTCAACCTATTGTACCATATTTGGCCTAAGTAGCCCTATCTTTTTAAACAAAAACACCCTCAAACTTATTTTCCCCTCAAACAAAATAGTCTAGCTTTCTGAGTCTCTACTATTTCACCTCCAGATACAACAAGGTTTTATGTCTAACCACATGTTACAGAGGCAGACCAATGCTCACAAAATTCACAGGTGACCTCCTATCTGGTCAATTAGCAGCCTCATTTCCATCTTTGCTTTATTTGACATTTCTGCCATGTGGCTTATTTGACCACTCCCTTCTTGAAATTCCTTCTCCATTTGGCTTCCAGAAAATGCCTCTTTGGTTCTTCCTATATTCTGTGACTCCTGTGTTTAGGCATGTTTTAGATTTTTAAATATGTTTATTAAAACCCTACTTCTTTTTTTTTAAGTAGCAATTTACAGGGAGGTATGCATTTAATAGTTTTATTTTAAAGAATCAAAAGAAAAATGGAAGACAGACAAAACTAAGATGACTCTTGGTGGAATGGAAAGAACTAGATAACAGTGGTGGCTTCATAAGTTTGTAACTATAGTAAATGCCACTGAATCACTAACTTTAAATGGTTGATTTTACCTTGTATGAGTTCACCTCAGTAATTTTTTAAGAAATCAGATCATTCTGTAGAGAAAGTTGTATTAAAAATGAACATTGTAAAGTTCTACATTTGCTTTAGGTGACTCATCAGTTTGGCTCTGAGCTTCTGAACAGGCTATGCAAGAAGGAAAACACAATCATAATGTAATTTAGATCTGCATACTTACAGCATGGAAATTGACTAGGAGAAAGGTTTCTCCTTTGGGTCCTCATCAGGACAGAAGGGATTATGGTGAATCAAGTCTTGTTGCATCAACCTCCATAGTGTGGAAAACCAGTGTCAAGTGTTTCCTTTAAGGCCTTCACAGGAGGTACACAATGAACACCAGAGTCCACTTCGTTACAACAGTTCTAAAGGATTAGGTTCTGACAGTCTGCCTAATTCAAGTATTGATTTTAGAATACTTAACGAAATGGATGTGTTGCATAACTTTCAGTCAATGCTATATAAGTAAAAATTGGATATTATAGCTGAGCTTTTGATTAGTATTGAGCAAAAAGTTATATTTGCTGATGTGGCAAAATATTCTATTTTGCCAATGAAAAGCCAATTCATGTAAGTTCATAATCAACCCAGGTGGAAGTAAAAATGACATAACTTAATGAAAATGTAAACTATAACTAGGAAATATTCCTAATTTAAAAAAAAAAAGACATTCCATTCATTCATGGAAAAGAACAAAAAGAAGAGTGCTTTGGACAAGACCAAGGCTTTCTTCCCTAAAACAAATCTGGATCTCTCCTATGCACAAATAAAATGAAACATAGGGCTCCAGAGTTCTGCACCATGATATTGCTAAGATAATTTTAGTATGAAAATTTCTTAAGGTTAGTGTCACCAAACGCCCACCCAGCCATTAAAATTTCAGTGAAGCACTCATAGAAATCTTTTAGCTTAAGCAGTTTAATTTAGCAGTTAATTCTGTGAGATAAAGTACCTGCAAATACACCTCTAAAAAGCCAAGTGAGTTGTTATGTTGTATAGAATTGTGAGGTATTCTATTATTAATATTTTTAGAGCAGTTGATCCCAAGACATACTTTCTTACATAGCCTGTTATCTGTTAAGATCACTTGTATTTCATAAAAATGAGAGTTAAAAACCTATAGAAGAAACTCAATAGTCTGTCTGCCACACAATATGCATCCAATTTATTCAAATATAGTATCAAATCATTGGGATAGAAACTTTGTGTAGTTTGGATTGGTCTGGTTTTGGTGGCTATAGCCAGCAATACGTTTCATAAGAATGGTCCTCTGATCTACCAAAAGAAGCCCCTTAGTATTCTACCTTTCAAAATACAGACTTTTTTACTTATGAAACATTCTATTTAAAATGTAATCAGGTCTCTTAATAACTTGCAGTATTTTAAGTGAAGAAGCACATTTTAGGCAGAGCTATTCTACTATTGGAAAATGTTTTGTCTTTTATTTCCGATCTAGGTAATATGTTAAAATCTGCACATTTCTAACTTTTCTTCATCTCATCTCAGCCTTTTGACTTGATCAGAAAGAGTCAGATAGGCTAAGTTAAATGAATGTTCCATGAAGTCAAGATTCATGGTCCATTTCTATTCATTGCTGTATCATCAATGTCTGCCAGATGTTTGACATACACAAAATAGGAAATTAATATATGTTGAATGAGTTAAAGGAATGAATGAATGAATATCATTTTTCCTCCATGAAAATTAGAGTTGATGAAAGTAATCTATTTCCATCTTAATCTGATTACTAAGAAGCTCAGAGGCAAATCGATGGCACTGAAACAGTCTTCTAGTCACACCACTCACCATTGCCAAAAGATGTCATCCATTTTCATACTTTACCCAAATCATTTTTCCTTCTTCACATAATGCCTTTCCATTCTTATAGCCTAATGACCTCCAACCCATGCTTTAAGTTCCAGGTAACCTGCCACCTTCTCTGTGATGCCTTTCCCAGTTTCTCCCTGAAAAAGATTCGAAAATACCATCTGTTCCCTGGCTCAATGGGGAAAAAAAGTCATACATACCTCCATTAAACATTTGCCATACGATATTGAAATTATTGCTGAGATCTCTCTCAGACTGAATTCCTAAAGCAAAAGGATATGTTCTTATTCCTTTTTTTTTTTTTTAACTCCTGTACTTAGCACAGTGTCTGGCACATGATTATGGTTTCATAACTCTTAGTCACTGCTGTCCTCACTGGGCCAATCAGTGTTATCAGTCACTGGCAGTGAACACCTGGAGGAGGTGCCCCTCCCTATGTTTGTCCCCTGAGGCTCCTAAAATGTGCTCAAGTGTTGGGCAGTGTTCCTTATTGGTAAATACTTTTGTCAAAATGAGAGTG